TCACAGGGAGAAAAAAAAGAAAGAGAAAAAAAGGCATCAGTAGTGGTGGGAGTGAATGAACAAGCTTAATAATGAAGCCAGCAAAAAGGAAAATACCCTCTGGCCGATTGATAATAAAAGGTTACTTGAGGCAAAGGGTCAGATCCTGAGCAGTGTGAAGTGGCCCAGCTTCTCCAGCCTCAGCAAAGAGACAGTGATTTACAGCAGCTGCAAAAAGCCCCAGGGGACAGAAAAACCCAGCTATAAAAATGGAACTGCAGGCCCATCTTTTGCAAAGCTTCCACTCACTTTTAGCACCAGGCTGAGGTACAGAGGTGACTCTGAGGGTTTGTTTCTGCGGGGGAGTTCCTGTGAAGTAAGCTGAAGTGTGAATTTACACTGCATCTACTGCTGGGTCTTTAAGTAGGCTGTAAATTCATACCCTAGCCTATTTTACAGGGATTTCCCCAAGTAGATAAGCCCTAAATTTGCCTCCTAATCATGGAGGCAGACAAAATAAATAGACGTTTTCAACACTGCAGACCCACACATGAATATCTCTATTGCCTGTAGGGGCAAGTGGGTACTGGACAGTATATTATATATCGTATTACAGTCCTGCAAGTGCATAGTGCTCTTCTTTCCACCACTGACCCCCAGAGCCCCCTCCACTCATCTCTCTCAACATCCCTCTACTTCAAGAAACACCTTTGAAAACCCTGGCCCTCATGTCAGTCTTCCATGCCCTGGCCTCTGGCTTTTCCCTTCCCCATTCCAATTCCACATCTGGAGGTCCGTGTTCTCCCCTGACCCTCAGGGGGAGCAGTAAAGCTGTCCTGGTGCAGAGGTGTCTCCTCCTACCAGTTCCTTACCTCTGAACCAACCTAACCATGTCTTGTCCATGCCTCACCCATTCCCAGAAGCACTGGATCCCTGGGTTAATTGGTGTCCCTTGAAACCTACATCAGAGTCATAAGGTTAACTCTATGCCAACAAATGCCAAGAAGCTGGGCAAGATTACTCACACTTTCTTGGCAGAAAGATGCTTTTACAGGCAGCCGAACAGGAAGCCAGAGGCCTTCAGCAGAGCCAGAGGAAGCAGCTGGCATGGTCACAGCTTCACCAGGGTCCTCAGGCTGGGGGTTTGGGCTTCAGCAGACTAAGGTGAGCAGCTTGAACCACACCAGGTCCAGGTTCTTTCCCTGGGAGCCGCAGTGAGGCTGTAATGGAGCAGAGCACTTACGCCTTGGCTAATCTGGGACCTTGCACCGCTTAAACAGCTCCTGTGCTGGCCCAGGCACTCGCTGCCCCAGAGCCAACCAGTCCTACCTGAGGCCATCCCACTCGAACACAGTGACAGCACTGGGTCCTCAAGGATCCTTTTCAAGAAGTCAGTTTAGTAATATCCTCTGTCACCTGACGCAAACATCAGGGTTCTCAAAAGCAGCTTGGAATGCTCTCCTTCAGTGAACTCCCTGATTTTGCAAAGCTTGAAAGACAAAGTCAGTTAACACTTAGAGCCCTAAGATCAATGAGGGAAGCAAAAAAGGCATAAAACATCTTTTGATTTCAGCAGAAGGAACCAGCCACAGTGAACAGTCATCACATACACTACAACATTCCACACCATCCTTATCTGCAGGAGCAGATAACAGCAGCCTGGGGAACAGGAACCACATTCTAACAGATACGAGACTGAAAAAGCTCTCTGAGAGACAGGTCACAGAGCAGTGATCCTTCCAGCACTTGCCTAAGTTTAATCTTTGATGCATATGAAGATTCTGCACCATAAGCATCTCTGAGCACAGAAAGAGCTCAGCACCCTTTAACAGCTAAAATCTGTGCTGCAGACCATTTCTTCCATTCTGTTATCTCAAGCTCTCTTTGTGACCCTTTTCTTTGTACTGTCTGCAAACATTTGTGCAATTGAGTTGTACCAGCAGTTGCATTTAAAGAAAGTCAGTGTCTGAGCTTCACAGAACAGTCTTTAGAGAAACTGAAGTTTATATTAGTTCAGGAGCATTTATCTTGGAAGTGTCTGGTCTTTCATCCAAACAGAAAGCACCAACAACACAGTAAGAGCACCCAAATCCCACCAAGCCAACACCATGACTCATGATAGCTCACAGAACACTGTTTCACAACAATCCACAGAGCTAAAAAAGTAACAGAAATATTGAAAGGTACATAAATACCAGGGAACAGCAATTGCATCATCATGATGCAAGCAGAAGAGAAGGTTGGATACTCTGGGAAAATTCTTCTGTGTGAATTATTTACTTGGCTGAAAAACTTCCTCCTTCCTTTTCATCTTGCCCTGTTCAGCGAGAATACCATATATTTGAATATGGAATACCATATGGTATCTTCCATATACTGTCCAGCAATTGCTTCCAGCTCCAGAACAAGACACTCAGACTGGGCCAGTCATGTTAGAAAACTGAGTGCAGAAAGGGGGGTTGTGTTTTACATCCTGAAATGTGAAAATCTGAGGTTTTGGAGATAATTCTGGATGTTAACTTGATCTTATATCACTGACTTCAGTGACATGGCCCTATCATCAGTGATTCCAAAGCCACAGCAGAAGGATGCTGACCTGCTTCCCCACAGGTTCCACGTGCAGTGTGTCCACCACGACCAGACTCCATCTCATGCACAGCCAAGGTGACACAGTGTTAGTGCCATGTGGAGGTGGACAGAGAGCCACTCTTAAGTCCCAGTGCACACTGCAGTGGCTGTTCCAGCTGCCTCCTAATTGCTCTACTCAAAGGCTGTGTGAGAAAGTGAAAAAAACCTCTGTGTGATCATGTCATGAAACCTTGCCTCACTGCACACAAGCAAAACAAGGTTGAGCTTCCACTGCAAGGACACCCTTGGTGCAGACACTTTGCTGTTTTTGAACACCTGGTGATCTGAATATTTGTTATCCACTGTTAATGTTATTAGTATCTCCATACATCTCTGTATGGAGATATGTATCCCTGCATTTTGGATGTTCTATACCACTTAAGAAGTGCGGGTATTTGAAAAAAAGGAAGGCCCCACACACCTATACGTCAGCCCACAGCCTTGGGCAACCCATGCAGAATCTGAGACAGGCAAGAAGTTTCCAGAGTATGGGGAGAAAATGGTGGAGATAACAGCAGAGTAGTGTGAAAAAGAAGTCAGACAACAGGGGTCACTGCATGAAGGGGGCTCTGAAATAAACCTGTACCTACCGATATTTCTGTCTGCTGAACAAGAAGATGACACAGGGTGTGAAGGGAGGAATGCTGTGTTTTCACGGGGCTAAGCTGAAATAGGTCCCTGTCTTAGGTCTCAAACCTATTTACAGCAATATTTTGTCCCCTCATATGATATATCACTGGAGATAAAGCATCTATATAAATCTATAAACTTTTTAAATAACATTTTATGGTTTTAATTTGCAGAGTATGATTTCTTTCATTCGTAGCTTTCCCAGGCTATAGATTTCTTGTCTGTCATCTCCCTCTTGGTGTTACAACTCCAGAGCCAAGCCACTCTAAGTCGTTACTGAGCCCACCACTTACAGGGTAACAGGGATAACCACCAGCGTATTCCCTAAGCAGGGCATCCCAGAGAATTCACTCAACAAAACACATCCAGCAAAGCAAAGGAACAAGGCCCTTCATGTTAATTTAACAACCTACTATCCCCTGAAATCACTGGCAATACTAATCTATTTATCCTGCCAGTAAACAAATGTACATGAGTTTCCCATGCAGTAACACACTGATTAAAACTTAGAACATGTGCCCAGGCAGGGCATATTTCTCAAATAAAAATAAGACCTTAATAACCCTTAAAGGAAATTCCACATAAACACACAGCATCCAAAAGCCAGGAGCAAGGAAGAATTCAGTCGGACTTTCAGTCAAAATCCAGTGATTCCTTTTATATTGCTTCAGTTGCAATGGTTTCAGAAGAACAGAGAACTGTCCTTTGAGACCTAACCAGTAAAAGGAGCATGGCTCTCCTTCTTCCACTGTCACGTAGTAGGGAGGCCTTTATGCCCTGCTAAATGTAAAATATTTTAGAAAAACAAAACCAGGAAACAAACTGGGATTTGGTCAAGAGTTCATGCTGGCTGAATCACTGTGGTGTGGAAACCACCAGCTCTAAAGATGGAAAGTCCAGAGCCATTCATTACCTCAAGGAAAGAAAAACAAAAAAAAGGGGGAAAAGAGGCATTAAAGACCCATTTGGCTTGCTGGTAAGCTCTTCCAACGTTGGAAACACAGGAGAGGCTACCTATAGGTAGGTGCCTTGACCTTTTTCCTCCTCATCTCTCTCTGAGCACAGCCAGCAATTTGATCTGCATCACAGTTTTTTATATTGGGTACAGTTTAAATGTCACTCCCTGACTCAACATACAGAAATGCTTTAGGTCAGGGCACTGCTTCTTCCCTCCACATCCTGCACCTATTGCCCTTTGAGGCCTTTCCCCGGGAAAAAAGCCCAAAATCTACATACTTTACAGATTGAACATGGTCAGTTTCTAAGTAAAGACTCGTTCAGACTTCTCTGGTTTGCCTTTTATTATCTGAGAGGTTCCAAGGAAATATTGCTCAGAAGCATATAAGGCCAAATGTTCTTAGACAAGGACATACAATAATGAGTGCATTTAGTGAGGCAACACAGCCATTTCGAAAGAGGCCCGGGAAATCCTAAAATTGTTAAAATGTATCTTCACAATTACTGACAAGATCTAGTAAAGATGTTTCTGTTATGCTGGCGCATTTCATAAGCCAAAAGTCTTATCAAAGAATCATTTTAGCAAACTTCAAAAGGCAAACTGTTGTGCCCATTGCTTGTAGGAAGGAGAACAGCTCCTGACAATAACCTCCCCATTCATTTTTTGCTTTCCTTGTTTCCAAAGTACTGGCATACAGAAATATGCTACACTCAGGCACTAAAACACACTTGTCTCAGCTGACCATCATGTTATTTGACATAATGCTGCCACTAAAGTTAAGAATCCTATCAGCTTTCAGACTCACCTGAACGCTGTGCAGCCTTTTTGTCCATGCTGGATGGAACGACCCAGAGCTGCAGCAGGAAAGGAATATACCTGTATACACACCACAGAACAAGAGGAGAGCTAGTCCAGCAGCTAAACATTGCAAGCTGAGGAAACCTGTTACCAGCTCTGCAACATATTTCCTTACACAGACTTATCTACATCATTTGTTCTCTCTGTGCCTCCGCTCTGTAAAATGGTACTTTTATATAACAGGCTGTGTGAGAATAAATATGGTATGAAGTGGCACTGACAGGGAACATGGAAATACCTCTATCTATGATAACTCCACACTACCAACCAGCCATTTTTAACACTCAAAATTGAATGATTCCAGAGAATGTTACAGTGGAAGTGACTCACAGAAGACTGAAGAATCAACACCCTTTCCTGAACTGAATGCAGTTTTGTGAGTGTAGGTTTTAAAGGGTTCATTTACCATAGTGATTCCATTTGGAGAGCAGTCTTTCATAGCACTGGTGTCAATGACCAGGGAAGCCTTTCAACTTGGCAAAGCATATTCCAGGATGTCTTAAGAAAAAAGATCTATAAAAACTGCACATCAAAAGCCTGGCATTCTTGTGCATTAGTTTTGCACACTTCTAAATGAAGCTAGTGTTACAAAGTGCTTCTAGGCCTATCAAAATTTCACAGGTAGTATGTCAGGAGGGAATCCATCCTGAAATACTAAATCACAGTAAACTTCAGATAGGCACCAACTTTTCCTACAGAGGCTTGCATCAATCATTCTCCCTTTCTCTTTCCTGAAGGGCTTACCCTGCACAACCGCTCCTGGTGACCTCTTCAGTGTGTGCAGTACTCCTTTGGGCTTTCACTGCTCTCGGCTCCACATGCTGCTAGCACCTGTAACATAGAACAGTACATTCTGAGCATTCCCTCTGCCCTGTGCCACGCCACCACTGCCACCCCACCGTTCTACAGGGCACACCTCCATCAGTGTCCAGGTTTGGAGTAGCAGTGAGTTTCTGGAGCCAGCTCCTCAAATGCCCCACTCCTTGTGCAGTCCCTGAGCACAGTCTGGATTCCCTTCAGATGGGACTAAGCTGGAAGAGGTACCCCAGCAGCACAGGTAAAGCACCCCAGCTGCACACAATGTGCAGGCCAGGGGACATCACCAGAGCTGCAGCTCTCCAGGTCACTCCTCGTGGCTGCTACAGTTACTTGTGAAGAAATTGTCTGGGAGTATCAGACATTCATTCTCCTCCAGGGAAACTTAACAAACCCTCTCTACTCTGTGGTACAATCACCCAAAACTCGCATTGCTCTCCCTCCCCACTCCCTCCAAAAAGCAGATTAATGCCTGTCTTTTCAGTTATTTACCCAGTCAGCACCTCCGGTGGATCATAACCTTTGAACATTTGATCTTTTTGGACTCGTTGTTAAAACTGTCTGTCACCATTTAGGTCCTTGCCCACCTGCCAGTATCCTGTCACTCACCTCTTCTCTGTCACCCATTTCTACTCTTCCTTTCTTTCTTTTGGACTCACTTGTCTTGTTCTATGTTTTTAGATATGAATAAAGCTCAAACTCATCACTAATACCAAATTCACCTGAAATAACTTCATTTTCTGTGATTTCTTTTATTTTATGTGACTGCATTTCTATGTAACCTATACCAGCACCATTTGGAACTTCACACTATCTATAGAGAAATCACCTCCTTTTATCTCTCAGTTAACTGGTCTTTTCTTTGTGGGCCAACCCAGCACCCGTGGAACTGAATGGAAGGACCTCAGCTGACTGCAACAGGCAGTCCCCTAAATGCACTTAATGAAGCCATTCAAACAACTGATGCTATTTATATTGAATTTCATGACTATATGACATTCAGAGATAACCATGTATGTTCTATGTCTTTTGGAATACATTTTTCCTATTATACAATCTGAAAAAAAATACTGGTTTTGTTCTAATGTAATTTTAAGAATCAAATTTATATACAAGACCTTTAGAAAACAGAGACCCACCTCTAAATGCAAAGAACAAACATTTGCATTACCTATTTATATTAAAATATGCAGAAATTTCTAAACTATTCAGCCAACTTATAAATTTTTATAACTTCTTCAAATTGTTAACATTTTTTTAACACACAGCATTATTTCAGCTTTGTGGAAGGCTCAATAACAATCTTTCTGGTCTGGAAAAAAAAGGAAAGAACATTATAATAAAGAATGCAGAATAAATAAAAACAAAACAGTACAAGCCGTACATCCACGCATACAAAGACAACTTTCATGGTGAGCTATAAGCAAGTATAATAACACAATGTGCTGCATGTTGATTTCACCAGTGAAAAGAATTTCTCCAGTTATTGAAGACTTTCCTGGCAGAATTTCAGAAAAAAATTCTGACATTCTCCCAATCTGACTTCTGTGCAATGCAAGTCATGCACATTTTAAACACCAGTGAATAATACTGCCTTTCTTCTGAGAACTGTTAACAGCTGTAGAAACTATTATAGCCTGCTTAAAATCATGTCTCTGTAGTCAATACTCTCCAGACACTTAGCAATACTAAAGCTATTCCTGGGGCTAAAGTAGAATTGCTATGTGAGTACAAAGTTTGATTTATGTTGAAATGAAACAACAAACATCTGATCTTTCCTTTTTTTTAACAGCCATTCATATAAACACAAGTATCAGCTGCATGACTAGAAAGCGATGCACCAAATTTACAGAAATTGGACAAGGGAAGACCACCCACAGTCACCTTCAAGAAGAAAAGATTTGTCAGAGGGTGACAGATCGCTGGTGAAGATACTTAGTACAGCTGTGGCTGCCCTGATGTCCCCATGGTGAGGCTGTGGTTAGTGAGAGTGATGTTCCATGAACCCAGTTTTTCAAGTCATTGGAAAGACACAAAATTATCAGCAGCCCAGTGCAATATCTTGGCGATGCTCATCATCAGCTGCTCTCAGACAGATCACAGGCACAGTGGACTGCCTAATAAAATCTTCCAGATGCATCCAAGAGGAAGTCAAGGTCTCTATGTACTAATGTTATTCTTTCACAACCCAAAGCACAGGTGGGAACAGAAGAAATGCTCAGTTGTGGCTCCTTTGACATTTTTGAAACTATGACTGGAAAAAGAGAGGAAAAAACACAAGTGAAATAAGAGCAAACCTTAAAATACATATAAAATTTCACATATGTTCTATAGATTCATGTACATCACTAAGATGTGCTGAAAATACAGTTTTGATTCCTCACTTCAACAAACGGCCACCTAAATTCCTTTATTTTTTTTATACATCTTCACCTCGCAAGAAATGAAGACACCTAAGAAAATATTATCAGTTTCGTGGAGGGTTTGTGATCTCTGACAAAGTCAGCAATTAATTTGACCAGTAACAACAATAAAGTGAGGGTTAAGCTAATTTTAGTAAGAGACTCTTCCCCCAGAAGAGTACCATAAATTGATCAGGAAGCCTTATGCAGCCTCGAATGAATGCTCCAGCTTCTTCTAGATTAGTTCTAAATCTCTTGCTGTTAAAGTCTCTAGAAAGATGAAAGGCAAGTTAATTGTTGAGATAATTGCTATTTTTCTTCTGTCAGTAAATTACCTTTTTTATAGCATGACATTTCATCTTCTAATTAGAGCTTTCATTGTGTACCACTATTTCCCCATGTGGCACAGGTACACCTCCACCTTCTCCAGTAGACATGCAAGCACCAGCATGCAAGCCTGTCTGCCCTGCTGCTGCCCCAGATATCATCAAACACAGCTCTGCACACATGGTCCCTGTGCTTGGCTGGAAAAAATGCTCCCAGGTTGTGACTGTGGCACACTCAGTGTTCCTTCCCAAAAAGCCACTGTTAGTTCCACCAGCTATTTTCATTCTGGAGATGGCTTTACTAAAGATGAACATGACTGGTGTTGCTGCCAAGGAACTCACTCTCACTGAAAATGGGACGGTGCAAGACTGAGGACTCCAGAGGCAAAACAAAGCTTGAAATTCCAAATGCAGACCTAACACACAGCAGAAATGCTGCCATTCTCTCTGCCTTCAGGTCAAATTCAAGTTCTCGTGCTGGGCTTGTAAATACTGTTATTTTTAGGGAAAACTCCCTTTGACTTTGCTCAAGACCTCAGTTTGCATTTACACAGTACTATCCCAGGCTGCTCCCAACCCCTCTGCTTTTCTTCCTCCCTACTCACTCACTCACTCACTCAACTTTTCTTACCCCTTTTGTCCTCTCATGTCTCCTTTTCTTCCCTGTGCTCTAAGCCTTATCCCACGCTACCCTCTGATCTAAGATCTCTCTCTCTGGGAAGGCTTTGGATGTCATATCTCCATAAATTTGGGATAACACTCAGATTCAATGGGAATGAAGTTGACCCATACCATTGGGTCTCTCTTTGCCAAGGATCCTCGGTCCTTCCTCTTGCCTCTTTGAACAATCTCATCCTGCCTTTAGAATCTGTAACTCCATTTCCTTCTCCTTACTGTTGGCCTGCACTTCATATTTGCTAATTTTCCCATATTTGGACTCAGAGCTTCTAAAGGCAGAGTACAAGTTGCTAGATTTTCTCTTCCTTTGTCTATAAAATGGTGCCTATGAAATGTTTTCCCATAACAATGGAAAGAGATGATCAACTTACAACAGCAAATCATATGGAAGGAGAAGGTGTGCACACATAAGGGGGAAGAGGACACACTATTTTCTTAAATTTTAATAGGTAACTAAGAAATAACTTTATTTTCAGAATGACTAACCCTAAACAATGCAATAAAGGTATTATTTAGAAAAAAAAGCATAAGAAAGGCATGACAGTTACTAGAAGCTATCGTATCCTTTGGTCTCGGAATTTCAGCTGGGCTCTCATTCAGCACAGTCACAAGGCAGTGCTGTAATTACAGTCCTCTGGGGACTTCAAATGAAAATAAAAGTCACGTTCAAACAACCAATTTCAAGGTCACATATTTGAAATCAGGGCAGTAGGGAATCAAAAAGCCTTACAAAATAAGTACAAATCAGGCAACCAGGAAATTCTCACAGGTATAACACCAACCTGACCTGCTACTACCAGTGGTCAGTAGTTCCACTGAATAGAGCGAGAAAAATTAGACTGTGGGTTACAAGGGCAGTAATTTATAATGGGAGGTTGAGAGTGGACCACATGGAAAATTAAGTGGCAAGGAATGCAGACAAGCTTAGAGAGAGAGTGAAGCAATGGCTATTTTGAGAATCCCTGTTGGGCACAAAACAGCATTTGGCTATGGAGTGCTAATGACACAGGTGAGATGCACCAATGGCTGCAGCATCGGCAGGAAGAGTCAAATAACCTTATATAATGATATAAAAATGGGATTTCATCCATCACAAAAGAGAAATGTTACAGAAAAATCTCCAGCGTGTAGGCATAGTCCGAGAACACAGCTTCCCAGTCATGGATCAGGAAGATCTGATCCTTGGCACTGATTCTGGAATGACAAAACTTTTAGGCAAGTTACCTCCTTAACCTTCCTGTGGGTAGGAAAGTCACTGATAACTGAAAAACTCTTAAGCAATGTTCTGTGCTGCTTTTCTGTTGCAATAATTGCACATCGACTGCTCAGAATTGAATGGTGCCTGGTATCATTATCCTAACACACATAACCATCCACCCAGGCATTTACACTGTGCTTCTCCTAGTGCAGAGGGACTACAAACAGGAACACACAGGGGCAAACAATGCTGTTAACACTTTCCATTTTGGCTGGTATCACTGCGTTAGTGCAGTCCACGGGCAGGTGATGTTGTTTTTGACAGGCCTGTTGGGTGACAGTGACAGCAATCTGTCAGAGGCAGCCCACACACGGGATGTGTCCTGCACAGCACACTGACCTCCCCCAAAAAAGTTTCATTTTTGAACTCTGTGGAACATGTTACAAATACCAGCTGGCCGGGTGCAATGTATCACAGAAAAAGGGCACTGTGTAATGGTCAGGACAAAGCAACATGGAAATACCCTCTGAGGGCAGCAGTGGGCTTGCTGGAGAGCACTCTGTGCTTCCTTGGAGGAACAGGTTGGATCTTTGTGAGGAGGGACACTTGGCCCATCAAACAAGGTAATGTGCTAAGGCACTTCTGTGCTTCTCCTGCAACTCCC